GAAAAACATAGTTGAGGCAAACAGAACTGTTTTTTGAGATATTTCGATGAAGATAAACTTATCGATGGCAGCTTTCTAATCTCATCAGCTGAGTCGAGGCTCAAGATTCCTCTATCGCTAGGGTTGAGTGACATACAAGCCAAAGGCGACCTACATGTAACCTCTGTTAGCTTCGTTTGTTCAGTTCAGTAAGACTGTCATTTTTTGACAAACGGATAGTTTGATTACCATCAAATGGCAAATATTTTGATTCAGTACAGAAGAGACATAACCTTTCCTTGTTGTGGCCTGTAAGCTCTTTGATTAACCAGAGATAGTTACTTCTACCAATGTCAAGTGTTTAAAGCACCAGAACTTAGAGTTTGCTGTCAACAAAACGAACACAGCTATTAAGAGCTCCAATGGACCCACTTACTTTAGTATGCATGCTAATAGAGTTGTCCGTATATCTATCCAAATATTAGGCATTTATATTATGTACACAAGAATACGTTACATTTTATGGAAACACAAGCTCTAAAATGCAGCAAAAAACAAGCCAAACCACATGGGACGATTGCTTAATTATCAGAAATAACTTTTGGAATGCCTCAAGACACTTTCAAAGATACTTTAATTAACTATTTCTGGAAGCAAAACAAGGAAACTTCGAATGGCAAATAAATTACTTCAAAGGAATCCAGACCTTTTGTTAACTTAACAGAAACTTCACAATGATGTGGTCCGCCATGGATTTCTGGTCATGCACAGCAGTAGCTATTATAACGCGGACATGGCCTGGTCTATACGAGAAATTTTTGTGTGCCACTTCTTCGGTAAAAGTTCTTATTTGCTCTCGCAGACGAAGACTGACAATTAGCCAACTTTTACGTGATAAACATATTCATGAAAAGCTGGTCTGTTAGCTTTTATGCGACAAATAAAGGTTGTCAAATACATCTACTAAATATTGCTTGTGTAGACGATTCCTCTCATGGAATGTGTGGCAAATACGTTCGTAAGCGCCATTGTTTTGGGGGAGACTACCAACTTGTTTCTGCGTATGTCTGCTGTCCAATTTCACTTACAGGCGCACTAAACTTTGAACTGCTGACAAACATTTGCCGTGCCATCTGCATGATCGAATACATTTGTCATATAAACATTGCTCGTGAAGAGCAGGCGTAAAAGAGTTTTCGCAAATTCAGGCCCCAGTGTAGAATAATAAACTGCTTACTAACATAGCCTGTTTGATCCGCTGACCGTACGATTTTGTACATACTGCCACGACCTTGAGTCAATATTCCCTAGAACGGCCCTCGCACGATCCGGGTTAGACCCCTGGCCGGGGACAATGCGTCGCGCAAGACAACTTTAATACAAGACACTTTACTCTCACACACAGGTGTATAAATGGGTACCGACAAACGTAATCCTGGGAATAACCCTGCGATAGACTAGCATCCCATTAAGAGGGGAATAGAAATACTCTTTATGCTTCTGAAACCGGAATAAGTTCTGGCCTGATGGGCCACTGGCTCGTGTACAAACTTTTACCTACGGCCCTCGTGCTCGGTTAGTAAGAACTTAATCATATTGCTGCATTGTCCAGCTGATTGTCGTCCCAAAAGTCTCCAAGTACTGGGCGAGGAACTATCCTGAATGGGCTACCGTTCTTGACGGTTTTCTTTCAGCTATTTTTCAAAATAATTTACTTACACGTGATGGTTCTCTTTTCTTCTACTTTAAAGTCTCATTT